GAGAGAGCATACCGTCCCATTCAATGACGGAGCCAGGGGGCGCGGGGCCCCTAGCTTTTTTTTTTTCCTCTCTTTTTTTAAATATAATAGTTTTAATTTTAATATAATAAATATGTGTATAAATTAAATTTGATTCCTCATAAATTAATAGTTCTTTACATTTTATTAGACTAATAATTTAGATTTTTAAAAATAAAATATTTAATTTTATTAAATTCATAAAAATTAATATAATCTTGACAAAAAATTTTTTTTTTTGACTCCCTGCCAATAAATTCTAGCTCCGTGACTCTCATTTCCCCACCTCCCTATTAGTAGTACAATTTATTGTCGCCCATGCCCAACGGCCAGCAATAATTTTCTCAATGGATAATTTAAATATAACTAATTGTCAACTTATTTTATTTTTAAAGTAATTATATTTCTTGGCAAGGTTAGTATCCATCATACAAACTCATGTGCCAAATATAAACTCGTGCTTCACAAATAGATTTGGATATATGCACTTCGCGTATTTGAGTATTTAATTCGAGCTGAAATATAACATTTTTAGAGTTTTTAACTCTAACAAAAAAAGTTAGATGCGATATTTTTTGAGAATTTTTAACTGTAAAAACTTAAAACTGAAAACTTAAATCGATAAAATGAACGAGACCTTAGATCATTCAAATCGTGCCGGAAGCATCAATTTATTTGTCCAACTATACTCACCAAATAATATTGTAGTTAGCTTGTCGATTTTTTCTTAAAATACTTTTTTTAGGTTGAAAGTAAAATGCTAAATTATACAAACAAGGCAATTATATTAGACCAAAGTTACTGCTAATTAAAGTTTGATAAACTAATTCTGTTTAAACAAAGGGAATTGAGTGTAAATGATCGTTTTGAAGACTTTCTTTTAATAAACATCCCAAGCTTGATAAAATTATTTTAGTTTACTGTTGATTTTAACTCACTAGTTTGTCGTTGATTACTGAGTAATCGTGATTTATCACTAATTAACTAAGAATAGTCATCTCTTTCTTAAAAAAAAAAAATCATTTATTTGAAAAATAAAAAAATTCCACATAAAGAAGGAAGGGAGTGCTCAGTTTCTATTCTTCCTTATGGTAGGAGCGGTCAATTATAGAAAAAAGTAACATTTAATAAAAGACCATGAATGCATGAGATGTCCTTCTATGATTGGACCATTCACGTCATCCTTTCAGATAATTGATCACCAGTGTAATGGTCCAACCCTGGACAACAAGGCCCAAGAGCTTTGAAAAAAAGAAAAGAAAGAAAAAAGCAAAAAAAAAAAAAAATAATAATAATAATAATTTTGACAAATATTTTTTAAAAATGCATTTATCAAAATTTTTATCTATTACTCTTGATTCATAATTCTTTTAGTTAAATAATTACACTAATAAAAAAATATTTATCAAAAATAAAAAATAAATATTCAGACTCATACACATTTAAATAAATTTTCAATTATTAAAAAGAAGGAAAATAGTAAGAAATATGCCAATATGAAAAGCTTAAGAAAGTATATAGGCCAACTTTTAGTTATAGAAATTAATATGCCATAACTTGTCAAGTTATGGTTCATAACCATATAAGTTATGGACAAACTTGTCAAGTTATGGTTTATAACCATATAAGTTATGGACAAACTTGTCAAGTTATGGTTTATAACCAAACAAATTATGGACAAAAATCAGGAATAACTTGTCAAGTTATGGTTCATAACCAGACAATTTATGGACGAAAACAGTAATTTAACCTATTTATTAACTTATGTAAACTATTAGTCTATTAATTTTAATTCATCTCAAATCTTGACATATTTCCCCCTTTCTCCCAAAAAAAAAAAAAAAAAATAGAGGACCCAGGCCCAAGCGTACTTAGAATGCACAAATATAAATTCTTTATTTTTTTTACTTCAATCGAATTTGTATAATTCATTAGTGGACGATAAAAAAAAGGAAATAACAATTCTTCACATGTATGAACTATTACATTTTCATTAGGCACATTAAATTTGAATAGTATTTTATTCTTGTATAATTCTAAATATTATATATTATTTTCTGATGAATTTAATGACACAAATTGTTCACAAACATGTAATACTTTTAACACAAAAATTCAATAACGTTTAATTCATTTTTATCATTTTTTTGGCCTGTAAACTCATTTTATTAGTTGTTTTAATAAGATGAAGTATCAAGTAGTCTTTTTTGTTTTGTTTTGTTTTGTTTTTTTAATAACTTGGTTTTGGTAGATGGATAAATGGCACGGTAGGCCATGTGAGGTTAATGCATGCAATTAATAAGAGAGACACTTGGTAGGACTGAAATTTATTTTGTAAAGTTATTCCAAAAAAGAATAAAAATATATTTTTTCGCTGAAAAAAACACAAAATTAGTTGCATCATCTCGATTTTAGCAGCAAATTATTATCTGTACAGAATACGTTATATTGCGAAGAAAAAAAAAGAAAAAAAAATCTTAGGATTGTTCCATACAAAAAGTTTTAACTAAAATGTGTCTCAATTGCATAAAAAAAAAGTTTGACCAATTATAGGAGTCTGCATATTATGGCAATTCATTCAATGAAGTATCTCCAAAATTAGGAAGTAAGTTTTTGGTTCAAAATTTGCAAGAAAAAAGCAAAGATAAAGAAAGAATTTGAAATGCACGAAAATGGTTATGCTTCGTACATTGAGATTGAATCACAATGATTATCCATTAGATTAATGAAGATTTACATAAAAAGGGTTTTCTTTCACATATTTTTAAGCACGTTAATGGAGATTTACGGAAACAATTTACATATATACTTTTTATTCTTCAAAGTATTCTTTTATTTTTGAAAAATATTCCTCAAATATTTCTGAAACCAAGTAATCTGTAGTTTATACTTTACATAATTACTCGGGAAAACAAGTAAATAATAGAAAATGATAGGGACAGTTTTGTTGTTTTTCTTCACTAAAATGGAGTCTTAACTTAGAAGGAATGTGAAAAATAAAAACAAAAATAAAAAATCCTAAAAAAAAAAACAAAAAAAAAAACACCAAATTATTATATAAAAAAATACAAACAAAAACCACCAAATCAATAATAAAATAAGATTAAATTGCAGTGTTGCATATTAAATTATTCATTTTTACATAATAGATCTGAAACTTTTAATTTTAACAAACTGCAAACAGCATCCTGAATTTTAAAATTAGTTACAATTTAGGTCAAATAGCTAAAATCGTTATGACAATTTGAGATACGAGATTTGCATGTGACATGATTTAAAAAGTGACGATATTTACTTTTTATGTACAAATTATGTTATCATATTAGACCTTAATTGCAATGGATTTTAAAATTTAGAATACATATTACTAAAATTAAAAGTTTAAAAAGTATTATGCAAAAATGAATAATTTAAGGTGCAACAATTTAATTTACTCTAAAAATAAATGAATAATGCTAAAAAATATTAATAGTGCTGAATACCACCAATAAATACCATAATGTGAGTCTCACATTTTATTGGATAGCGGTGTACTACTACTGATGGTGTCCTTTTTAAGTATTTTTCAAATAAAATAGCACGTGTAAGGGGTTTGTTAAAGTAAGTAGAGTGGAACAAAACCAGCCAAAAAAAAAAAAAAAGGGGAAAAAAAAAAACAAAAAAAGGAATCACCACGAAACACGTTCAAGCGTATACTTTGGACTCTTCCCAATGTTCACATCCAAGAAGTCATTGTAGTCCTAAATCTCTTACTTGAAGTTACATTATTACCCCATAATACTCTTCCATCTGAAAGTAGTTTTTTCTGGATAATTTTGGAAGTTAATAACGATGGCTCTGGAATTCCACAGTATGCCCCATTTTTTAAGCAACAAAACAGTTTTTTAATTAACTAAAACAATACATAATTAGAATTCTTTTTTGTTGAGTGAAAATAATCAGAATTCTCTCAATTATTATTATAAAAAAATCAGGATCCATAAGAACATTGTACTTTCTCTTATGCCCAAGGAAAAAAATAAAGAAAAAAATGAAAATTATAAGTTTTTACTTTTTACTAAATTTTAGAATGGTTTTTCTAATATGTGCAAAATAGCTCATTAAATTTTTTTTAATTAAATGATCATTTTCTAAAAATTTATAGTAATTAATAAAAATAGATGTAATTTTTAAAAAATTAGAATAACTATTAAAAATTAATTAACAAAATTAGATATAACTATTAAAAATCAATTAACAATTTAGTACAACTACGTTCATTTCACTAATTCCAATAACAATTAAATTTTTATTAGAGTGTTTTTCTCATAAAAAATCATATTTCTTTTTTTATTACACTATTTTTTCATATGAATTTACTTTTTAATTCAAATTTTTAACTCAAACGAACGAATGAATAATGAGTATTTGTTAATTTGATAAAATTGAAGATATTTTAAACGACCAACTAATGTAATATTTCTTTTTCTATTTTTTTAGAGAGAAATTGATAATAACAGTATGGCTTTTGCTGAGAATTGAGTGATAGAGATTTTAGCCATTATAAAAAAAAAATCCCAAGTTCATAGAATAGATATTAATAAAGTCTCATTCAATTTATTAATTTAAATTAAAATATAATTTTATATAAAAATTTTTAACTGTAATAAAAAATTAAATATAATTTTTTATTAAAATTTTTAACCGTAATAAAATTAAAATTAATTAAAATTATTATAATTATAATTAAATATGATTTTTCTCCATCATCAACCAACGAACTGACCATTTCTCTCTCTCTCTTTCTTGATTAATTATAATTATTTTAACCTCAAATTGAAATGTGATATTTTTTTAAAATTTTTTATTATAATAAAAAAAATTAATGTAATATTTTTATTTTATTTTTTTCTCTAAAAATTTAAAATTGAAAATTCGAATTATAAAATGAATTTCACGAGGTCTTTATTTTTCTAAAACTGAAAAAGTAAAAAAGCAAACAAACAAAAAAAAGCCACTTCTTCTCGTCCTTCTTCTTCTTCCACTTCTTCACCTTCTTCACCTTTCCTTTTGTATTTTCCTCACGAATTGCGTTTTTCCACTGATTGACCATCGGAGGAAAGCGATTTCCCTTTCCTTCTCCGAATCCGATTTCTCGATTCCAGAGAAAGCGCCGATAGTTCTGATTCCCTTTTCGAGTCTTCATTCATGGAGTTCCGGAGATCGGATTCCGCGACGAGGCTGTTTCTAGGGTTTCTGGTTCTGTCCTTGGCGCCTCTGTCGCTTCACGCGAGGTTCGTCGTCGAGAAGAACAGCTTGAGGGTGACGTCACCCGACCGAATCAGAGGCACTCACGACAGCGCCATTGGAAACTTCGGGATTCCTCAGTATGGTGGAAGCATGGCCGGGAATGTCGTTTACCCTAAAGATAATCAGAAAGGTTGTAAGGAGTTCTCTGACTATGGGATTTCGTTCCAATCGAAGCCCGGAGCTCTTCCGACCTTCGTTTTGGTCGATCGCGGAGGTAATTTTTTATTTTTATTTTATTTTTTGGTGGGTCATGATGATTTGATTGATTGATATTGGAAAATTTGGGATTCAGTTATTAGTTTGCTTTGGGAGTTACTATTTTCAGTGACCTGAATCAATTTGCATTTTTGTTTTTAGCTTCTTTTCTGGTTAGTTAAATCTGATTTTTGTCGAAAAGTTTTTTGAATTAGTTGGTTTTTGCAGGGATTGCTGATTAGATGCTCTTTACTTAATTTTGTCAGTAATCACGTTTTTTAGCCATTTCTGGTCTGTAATTAATTTACTCTGCTATTTCTAATCGAGTAGTTTGTTTGTTTATCTGGGTAGTTTGGGTTTTTTTCGATAACTTTTTCATTGTATATCAAAACATATTTCTTTTACTTTCGATTAGATAGAGGATCTAGTGTTTCCCTTTGAATTAGATTCAATTGGATTATCTTACGTTTTATTAGAAATCCTGGGATTATCGCGGAAGTGTGTTTTTTGTTCTTTAACATCAATTTTGTTCAGATGGTTATTCTTGATGTTTAAATTGCCAATTTTTGGTTGTTTTAGGAGGTGGCCGTTTCGTTATTTTGCTTCAAGTGCTTGTTTGGTAAAAAAAAAAAAAGGTTCATATTCTCTCGGAATTATACTTGAAGTTTGCTTCAAGTTCTTTGGGTTACTTTAATTGTGCCTTGCTCCTGTGTGCAATTGTTTTTCTTCTATCTCACATTTCCCAGATTTTTGTTAGATTTTTTTTTTCTAGTACTTTTGAGATTTTAGTTTCTTCTTTTATTGTTTTTATCCTTTTAAATTTCCATCTCTCGCTTTCTCTTAGGATTGGTTAAGTTAATAATTCGCATGACCGGCTGATTAAAGAGGACATTTTGCAGGCAAATTATAGTTTATTTACTTGGGTTTTCAACTACTACTGTTGAGTTCACGTTGCTTTCTCCAGGAGATTGACTTTTCATGATTTGAACTGGTTCACCTCTTTTTACGATTCACTTGATTATTTACTGTTTTGGTTGCTTTCTTTTAGTGTTTGTCTCTAGTTTTAAATAACTAGTGTCCTTATGTATAGTCTTCCTAAGGGTTGATGCGTTAAATTGATGTGTATGAGATGTTTCCTGATTTATTGGAACTGAGGACAAAACCACCTTTTTCTTCTTCCCTGATGTTTGCCAACCTTATTACATATACGTTGGGTAATTTATTGGCTAATATAAATTGTCCTTCTGTAATAGTCATGTATGTTTATTTGGTTTATGGTCAATTTGTATTAGTCTTCTCTGTACAGTGGTTTTATTTATCTATTTATTTATTTTAAAGAGAAAGAAAGTTCTTTATATTCTGAAGACATATTGTGTAGTAGCTTGCTTAATTGGCTGATTCTCCAACACTGCTTGTATTAAAACTGTTTTGGCCTTTTTTCTGTTGCTTTCCAGATTGCTTCTTTGCTTTGAAGGTCTGGAATGCCCAGAAGGCAGGAGCATCAGCTGTTCTTGTTGCTGATGACATGGAGGAAGCACTGATTACAATGGACTCTCCTGAAGAAGATGGTTCAACTGCCAAATACATTGAGAACATTACAATCCCATCAGCACTCATTGAAAAAAGTTTTGGTGAAACATTAAAGAAAGCGATCAACTCTGGGGATATGGTGAATGTAAATCTGGATTGGAGAGAAGCTGTTCCACACCCGGATGATCGTGTGGAGTATGAACTGTGGACCAATAGCAATGACGAATGTGGAGTTAAATGTGATATGCTGATGGAATTTGTGAAGGATTTTAAGGGTGCGGCTCAGATTCTTGAGAAAGGTGGCTATACTCAATTCACACCGCATTATATTACTTGGTATTGTCCTGAAGCGTTTACCTTGAGCAAACAGTGCAAATCTCAGTGTATCAATCATGGAAGATACTGCGCTCCTGATCCTGAACAGGACTTCAGCACAGGTTATGAAGGGAAAGACGTGGTTCTGGAAAACCTAAGGCAGCTTTGTGTTTTTAAAGTGGCAAATGAGTCCAAGAAGCCTTGGGTCTGGTGGGACTATGTCACTGATTTTCAAATTAGATGTCCTATGAAGGAGAAGAAGTACAACAAGGATTGTGCTAATGCTGTCATTCAATCTCTTGGTAACTGAGTTTCTATTGCATTCTCATGTTTCTTAGATATTTGTAAATATTGATTGATAACATTTGCGTGTTAATGCGATCTTTGGCAGGGCTTAATGCCAAAAGCATAGAGAGGTGCATGGGAGACCCTCAAGCAGACTCTGACAATCCTGTTCTGAAAGAAGAGCAAGATGCTCAGGTATATGTCTCTCATTAATACAGTTTCTGCAATTTATTTGGTTTTTTCTTTTGAATTTGGTTCACAACGCATCCTATTTCCTGCAGTTCAGGAATTGCAGTCACTTTATGCTATTCTTTAGATTGGTAATACGAAATATAATTACGCGTGCTTTTGTGATGGGAACTCTTTGTGTAGGTCGGGAAGGGATCAAGAGGTGATGTGACCATATTGCCTACTCTTGTTGTCAATAACAGACAATACCGAGGTTGGTCTTTGTGTTTCTATTCTGTTGATATAAATCTGGATCTTTTCCTAATTGAAATATGTGCTTGCTTGCAGGAAAATTGGAGAAAGGTGCTGTTCTGAAGGCTATCTGTTCAGGTTTTGAGGAAACCACAGAGCCAACTGTTTGTTTGAGTGGTGGTATGTACCTTGTTAAGGTTGTTGTAAAGTTGATTTTGTGTCGGGTTAGTTGTTCTTCACTTCGTCCTGAACCTTATTTCTTTGGTTTGGATATTTAACTTTGTGGCAGATGTGGAAACAAATGAGTGCTTGGAGAGCAATGGTGGTTGCTGGCGGGATAAATCAGCCAATCTCACTGCCTGCAAGGTGAAAATCAAATCTTGCTTACCATAAAGGTGTCTAATTGACATAGGACTTTCTTTCTTGTCTGACTGATTGATTTAAACAGGACACATTCCGTGGGAGAGTATGCGAGTGTCCTGTGGTTGATGGGGTGCAGTTCAAAGGAGATGGTTATACTACCTGCGAAGGTAAAATATGCTTCAGCTTGTTGAATGCTAGAATGGATTGTCCATACATTTAGGCAGCGGATTCGAGTTTTCAATTCGAGCTGAGATGTGACATTTTCTGAGAGTTTTTAACTGTAGCAGAAAAAGTTAGATGTGACATTTTTTGAGAGCTTTTAATTGTTAAAACTTAGAACTGAAAACTCGAATCGATGAAATGAACGAGGGCTTATAATCTGAAAACTGGAAATGTTTGTGGATTTTCATTTTTTATGATGCATATTCTCTCTTTCTTTGTCTCATTTTTTTTTTCTTCTCCAGCAAGTGGGCCTGGAAGATGCAAGATCAATAATGGTGGGTGTTGGCATGAAGCTCGAAATGGGCATGCATTCTCTGCGTGCACTGTATGTGATATTCACTTCCCCCCAATTCTTCTTCCTTTTCTCTAGATTGCCTACCATGAGCAATTCAACTTAAATTTTTTATGTGTAACAGGATGATGGGGAGGTCAAATGCAAGTGTCCTCCTGGATTCAAAGGTGATGGTGTCCACAGTTGTACAGGTAAAAGAGACAATTTCAGTTACTGGTTGGTTGGCCTGCTGTTTTCCAGAACAATTTATGATAAAAACCACTGAGAGTAACTTTAGGATATCCAGGACTTTGGGACATGAGACATATTATGATGAATTGTATTTCATTATTTCATTACATCTTTAAAGAAACTTTATTCAACTTTATTCTTATAGAATTTCTTTTGGCTGGAAAATATTATTTGACGATCTTGTAACTATGGCCCAAACACTATAAATTTTATTGTATGCGCATATATATGAATTGACCATTCTGTTTCAATTTACATCTAGATATTGATGAATGCAAAGAGAGGAAAGCCTGTCAGTGCTCTGAATGCAGCTGCAAAAATACATGGGGAAGCTATGAATGCTCTTGCAATGGCGATTTACTGTATATCAGGGACCACGACACCTGCATAAGTGAGTCCAGCAATCCAAATGTTGAGGATAAATGTGCATGCTCTACACTTGCACATGATTGTGCCCTTATTATTATTTTATTTTCCCTGTGATCATTGCAGGTAAAACTGCTAGCGAGACACGATCTGCTTGGGCCATTGTTTGGGTTATTTTGATAGTGGGTATGGCTGCTGGTGGGGCATATCGTGTCTACAAATACAGATTAAGGGTAAGCTAATTAATAAATTGCTTTTTCCAGATTCTTTATTTGTGCCTGTGGTACGTTATTTAACTTATTACAATGATGTCTACAACATAAACTATTTTTGTAACTACATGTTACAATAATGGGGTCTTAAGGGCCATAAGTTTTGGCTATGGGAGTCGATCCCATACGCAGCATGAGGTACTAGATAACTAGGTCACCGGAACTCTGATTATGAATTGACCATTCTGTTTCAATTTACATCTAGATATTGATGAATGCAAAGAGAGGAAAGCCTGTCAGTTTTTAATTGTTTTTTTTGTGCTTTTTTTTTTTAATTCTTTTTGCAGTCATATATGGACTCGGAAATCAGAGCTATAATGGCGCAGTATATGCCTCTGGACAGCCAAGCAGAAGTTCCGAATCATGTCAACGAGGAACATGCATGAAAAAGAAATCGCCATTTGTAATCTTCGAAGAACTTCATGTGATGAAACTGTGGATGTGTACCGTGAAAATACCTTTCCTCATCGAGACACAGAATTTTGAGTGTGATCTTATAGATGCCTGTAACATATGTTGGACAATAAGTTAATGCAGATTTGAAAATGTCCGCCGTTTATTAGGACTCCAATATGCACAGGACAGTTGAAGGAATTGACTTGGAGAAGGGGCAAAGATTGAATGGAAGGGAGTTTACCATAACGTCCAAATTTTCACTACAATCATGATACTTGTCCATTTATTAAAAGTGCAATTCTGTAATTTACTAGCTTCTTAGGACAGGTTGAACTTCATGTCATAACTAAATTTCATTGATTTAAAGACAGTTTTTCCTTTTCTTTTTTCCCCCCTTATTTGCATTGGTAAAGTTTGTCCAACGTGGCCTATGCTCTCATCCTTTATTATTTTATTTTTTCATTTTCTTTTTTTGGGTGGTTTCATGCGTGATTAAGAACACTAACGCGCATGATCCGTCAAGTCAGATGCACGTACGTATAGGGTAAGGGATAATCTTCGCATATATGATTTGATCGGATCAAAATTACATGAGTTTTACCCAAACCACTCAAATGTGCGGTGTTCACATATCTCAATAGGGCAGCTATTGTCATAAAAAATGTTTTTTTTTTTTTTAAAAAAAAACAAAAACAGTTTCATTACACATGATAAAATTAAGTATAATTTGTTAGAGGTAAAAATAAAAAAAGAAAAAGCTAGACCTACAAAGCAATAACTTCAATTTGACAGTATCTGCAACTTTTTAACATACATTCAGCAGTTGAGTTTCAAATTTGATTTGAAGTGGGATCAACATCAAATCCCACCTAGATCAAGTGGAATGTACCTAGATCTGCTTTGCCATTTTAAGGAGTTCACAAGTGTGACTTACCTAGATCATGATCAACGAGGGAGCTAGAAAATTTTTTTCAGCGAGGACGTGAACTAAACCAAAATTTTGAACTAAAATTACAAAACAAGAAGATTTCACCTTCATGTTTGAACTAAGCTTGTAATAGAGTTCAACTTCAATGTTTAAAGTTTAGATTCTAAAAACTTGTGAATGCTAATGGTAGTATAGTTGATTTTTTGTTTAGTTGAGATTTTAAGTTTGAACAATAATATATTTAAAAGTCAAAAGTTTAAGATGTAATTGAATTTTTTTTTTAAGAAAAGTTATAGGCAGGACCCTATTATTGATGGGGTTGAATATCGTCGACGCTGAAATATAACAAGTCTTATAAATACAGAACTCATGTCTATATATAGTATATGCGACATTCTTGTATATGTTACTATCTACACATGCCCGCGTGCGTCCATACAAATGCATAAAGTATATACATCTATATTTATATGTCAAATATTAATATTTTTCTTTTGTACGTGGTCAATGGAGCATAAGTTGCCATTTTTAGCACGTCGTGAAAAGGTAGGTAAACATGCGGAAGCTATAATTACAAGAAGCATAATTTTCTAATATTTTAAACCAAAAGAAACATATTTCCTTTTCTTTTCGTGAATAATAAAATCAGTAGAGTCGGCAAAGTAAGTAAAAAATATAAACAATCTTCATGTTTCAAAGCTGATCACATGAGAAAAAAAAAGAATTTTTTTTTTTTCATATGTTCATATAATTAATCATTCTTAACCAATTGAATCGAGGGTTCGTTTGGTTAGAGGATTCAAACTATGTGATTCGAACCATTTTCGATTTACGTGTATTTTTTGTGAGAGAAAATACTGTAGCGAACCACGAATCATGATTCGAATCAGGAAACGAATCCTTCTACCAAACTTATAACAGCCGGATAAATAATTAGTACGTTTATATCAAATTAATAATACAATATTAAGCTCCGAAGAATACACACAAAGCCTCGTAACGAATCAGCTCAAAAACTTGATAATTAAACTGAGCTTGGTAGCTTAAGAATGATTTTTTTTTTTTAAAATACTTTTACAAGAAAAAAAAAAGAAGTACCAATCTCCTTGTTGTTCTTTTATGATTGCTTTGCCGCCAAGGCAAGCTTCGAATGATCAAGTCCAATGTCTTTTCCATTATAAGCTATTGGAGCGTACATCCACAGTTCATCAGAGCTCAACAGCTGTTTCCTCATGGTTCAAAACATGAATCTCTAAAATCAAACCTTATGGTTCAAAACAGGCTATTGTTTGGGAATTATAAGGGCGATCTTTTTCATTTTCGTATCCTACATTTTACGTTATAAAAAATAACGCTTTATATTTTGAGTTATATCGTATTTATATCTTCACATTTTAAATTTAGGTTGAATCCTTACTTTATTTTTTCAAAGGTTGATTTTGATTTTCAAAAGACCTAAATGTCCTTTACAATTTGGATTTTTTAGTTATTTGTTTCCTCATTTTTTCTTTATTCTTTTTTTTTTCCTTTTATAAGTGCATATAGGTCTTCTTCATTCTCAAAATTAACCGTTGTCCTAGAGGTAAGAAATGTGCATAAATTCAAAATTTGAAGATATAAATCGATACAGTAAAAAAGAAAAAAAAAAACCTTTTCTTTTCTTAAAAAGAATAATTTTTTCAGGGTCGAATGATGCAAATATAATGGGGTAAGTCCAATTATTATGACCAAAGATAGGATGACAAGCAAATATGTAGTGATAATGAAACTACTTCTTGATTACCTTAATTTGGAGTTGTAAGAACTGCACATACTGGACAGCTTCCTCAAGCATTGTGCTAATATCCACCTGAAGTCCCACAAAGGGCCAATTAATATCACAGCATTTTTCATGAACTTTCTATAACTTATATTTGTATAATAACATCATATATATGAATGTAAATATACCTTTGTTCCATTAGGTATGAGGTTCTGCAGAATTCTTAGCCTCTCATTGATTCTCTCCCTTCTTTTCTGCAGCATAAAAAATCAAAGGCTAATTAAGTCAACAGGCACAAAGTTTCTAGTTCTAGTCAGTTGAAGATCTAGAATATTGTCCATTTTTTAGTCACTTACCCTTGCGTAAAGGCTCTGAGGATCGGTGGCTGAGCCTCTCCTAGCTCTCGCTTTGCCGTCCGAATAGAGAGCTGCAGGCCCTTTGGGACTCAAACTTGATGTGTCCCCTCCACTCATCTCTTGACCACCATTGATGGACTCATCTCCTGAGCAGCAACTACTAGAGCTCTGTCCATTATTTACACCGGCATTGCCATCGATGTTGATTATCGATGCTAATTTCTGTTTCTTCTTCGACTTTGCGTGCCTCTTCCCTACTTCCACCTGCATATTGAATCATGATAAGATATCAAGGCCACACATACAAACTATCTGTAATTTAGTTTAAACTATTAGAAGGTAGGTCAACAATTACGATTTTATATTTTAAGGTTACTTTACAAATTGTTTCGAAAACTTGAGCTATTAGCAGATGGGTTAAAAACGGTTTTATATTCTAATAACAAGGGAAAAAAGAATTGTCTACTCACATTTTCTGAACACCGAGGCCTTTTCTCAGAATTCTCATCAGACGGGGTGCTCTTTTCTGGTGCAACATCTTCACTTCCATCGCCAATTTCGTCGCCATTTACACGATCCTCGCGATCTCCTTCAACGAGATAGGAAGTGGTGGTCTTCAAATCCCCCACGCCAAAATCAAAGGGCATAGAGCAATTGTTGGTGGAAGGGTTTTTGTGAGAATGATCGTCAGTACTTAAGCAGTAGTGTTCATTGCTTGAAGTGGGAAAAACACTACTATTGTCTCCGCTGGTAGCACTACTATTCCCTCGTGAGAAACTGGAAAAACTAGAGTTAGAAAGTTCTAAAGAGCAATGTGAAGCTCCATAGTTGCCCGCCATGTTCGCCGTCGATTCGTGGCCAGGCCAAAAGCTTGGCAAATTAGTTCCCATGCCTGAAAGAAGCTGGTTGTTATAATAAAGAACGGAGTTATTAAGCAATGAGGCCATGAAATCTGCCTCCTCAGCGGTGTAAATCCCACTAAGAGAGGTCCATTGTCCCTCAGCTCCCATAGCCTCCATGTTAATGTTCCTAATTAGCTTAAAGGGGGAAAAGGTTTGTTTGTTTGTTTTTTTTTTTTTTTTTTTTTTTTTTTTTTTTTTTTTTTTTTTTTTTTGCTGATCTAAGTGTTAAGGAATTAAAAGAAGTTTGATGTGATCCACACTTGAGAAAAGGAATGGGGTTTAAGGGAGATATTTATAGCATATCAAATTTCATAACAAACTCAATGTATCACTCTTTTTTTTTTCCCTTAAAAAAAAACAAAGGAAAAAAAAAGATGTCATATATCTCAGTTTCACACTGACAATTATTGGAAAATTATTCATTTTATGTGACCAAAACTTAAAGATTGTTGCTGGGGCCAACTACAGCTCAGAAGGGGGACCGGGTTAAAAGCATGATCATGGATTTAAATATATAAGCAACATAAAAGGGAAATTTATTATTTCCACGATAACCTTAAAGAAATTAATGATCAGTTGGTTTATAGTTCTTTTTTGTTTTCTTTTTTATATCTTGTAGGTTTATAGTTGAAGACCCAAAAAAAAAAAAAGGCAGACTTAATTGACTATATGTACCATATATGTGGCAGGAAGCACAAGTTAAGTAGTGCGAATATTTGAATATTAGATCATTTTATTATTCTATCAGAATTAAATAATAAACAAAAATATATGTTGTTTTGGTAAAGGCTTAAGTCTGTTTTGAAGATCTAAGCCCTACATCTAACATGTACAAATAGAGGGTGTAGTATAGCATTTGTTCAATATATACGTACAACAACTTTATAAAGATATGAAAAACTTATTTATCCCAAGTTAATGTCACATAATTCCAAAGTTATATTTAGATGGAATAAATATCTTACTATAGTGTAGAACAGTCCTTCGTGAAAGATCAAAGCCAAACTTTTTTTTTTTTTTTTATAAAATTCTTATCACAAAATTATTTGTACACGTATTATCAATAATAATTTATTAAAGGTATATCGAAAAAGGTCTAATCTGGCAGCATGCAAGAGGAAGATTTGGTGAAGTACTTGTTCGGAGAGGAAAACGAATCACACCTGGCAACCAAGAGAACGTGGGGGTGGCACAAAATGTAGAAAAAAAAAAAAAAAAACATACATTGTGTTGAAAAACATTGAAATGACAATTAATTGATTATAACACAAAAGTAGTGCAAGACGTGGAGATGAGTCTTGACATTTTCTCAAAACGAGTATCAACCAGACAGGTCATGATCTGCTGACTGGATTTTGTTCCCC